TTAAAAGATAATTCTTGTTACCCTTAAGGCTTAATCAATTTCCTTGTGACTTCTCAAAAATTAATGGATCAGGCCGGGCGATGGTGGCGCACGCCTTTAATCCCAGCACTCGGGAGGCAGAGGCAGGCGGATCTCTGTGAGTTCGAGACCAGCCTGGTCTACAAGAGCTAGTTCCAGGACAGGCTCCAAAGCCATAGAGAAACCCTGTCTCGAAAAACAAAACAAAACAAAACAAAAATTAAAAAAAAATTAATGGATCATAGATGTTTGGGTTTATCTTTAAATTCTCACATTTATTTACTTATTATTTTTAGTTTGTTGAGACAGTGTCTGACTATGTAGTCCTGGCTGCTCTGCAACTTTCATGTAGACCAGGCTAGTCTCAAAGCCCTGGTCAGCCTTCTGGTTCTGCCCTTGAGTGCTGGGATAACAGGCATGTCCCACCATACCTACCTACTCTGAGTTCTCACTGGAAATCCTTTATTTATAAGTGTTCATCCTTATGCCAGTACCTGCTGCTCTGAATGCTGTACTGTTGTAGTAAGTTTGGGAATAGAATGTGTTAGTCTTCCAGTTTCTTTTCCAGATTGTTGTGGTGTTCTGAGCTCCTTCCATTTCCATATGAAGCCTAAGATTTATTGGTTCATTTCTTTAAGCAACAACAACAACAAAAACCCAGTACTTCAAGTTTTGGTAGAGATAACTTACTTCTCTTTGGTATCTTAACTTTAATCCTCTGACTTTTCTCATGTTTGGGCCATGGTTTTGTGCTGGTTCATCCTGCTTTGAGAGTCTTTGCTAGCCTTCCTGTGACTGTTAGTGCATTCATTGTGGTGGGGATGAGAGAGGCTGAATGATGAGGCCGAGTATACCTGCTGTCTACCGTTCTCTAGTGCAGCTGCCTCCTCATCTGCTAGGATGCCGGGATCCACACAGCTGCTGTCTCCATCCAACTGCTCAGTTGTTCCTACCTGGGGAGCACATTCTTACTCATTGCCTCCATTTCTGTCTGGGAGACATAGCTGGGAGGCGTTGATCTGTAATTTAACTTCTGTGCATCACCAGCCAGCTATGTGGTCAGTTTACAGGACCGTCTGCTCTTTCTGCTGTCTCCCCTGTGGACTTAGTTCACTTGTTTAAACCAATAAAGCCACCACTCAGCCACTCCTTTTCTTGGGTCTCTGGGACTGGTTTCTTGGTCTGTTCCCTAAATTTTTTCTTTCTTCTTTTCATCTCTCATTGATTTCTCATAGTTTTAATCTCTTAGGGCATTTTTAAAATTTTCTTTCTATTGTAGTGTTTTTGTTTGTTTTGTTTTGTTTTTCAAGACAGGATTTCTCCATGTGGCCCTGGCTATCCTGGAACTCACTCTATGGACCAGGCTGGCCTTGAACTCACTCCTGCCTCTGTCTCCCAAGTGCTAGGATTAAAGGCATTCGCCACCACATCCAACTTCTATTGTAAATTTATAAAAAGATGACATTACTTATGATTTGGGTAGACAGTGAGTTAGCTGTGTCTTTCTAAGCCTTTATTTTTAGTCAGTGTCTATGGTGAAGTAAGTATTATAAAAAACATTTAAGCTAGCAGATAAAAAATATTGATTTAATCATTGAGGACATTATCTTTTTCTTTGTGAAGATTCCTTTTAAAATAATGGAGATCAGGAGTTTAATTTTCACCATAAACAGCTTAATGTTTGTGTAAACTTTAATGAATAGAGGTGTAGGTCAGGAATTTATATGAAATTTAAAAAGTGCATATTTTCTTAAAATAACAAAAGTGCATGTGCGCATTACTGTTATGTTGTTACTGTTATGCTACTGTGCACCCCCCACCCTGTCTGCTCTTTGGGTGACTAAGAGCACATGAGTCCTGAAGTCAGCACCCACTTCGACTGAATGACTTCCATGGAGTTAGCATTAGCTTCTCCTGAAACAGAAACAATATGTTGGTTGCTGTGAGAGAAACATGCCAAAGATGTTTAACAGAGGTTCTAATAAAACAAAATGGGGTGGAGTCTAGGGTCAAGCCCAGGGACTTGTGCATGCTGGTCAAGTGTACTCTGTGCTGAGCTACACTCCCAGTCCTCCAAATGTCTTTGGTTACAGCTCTGAGTCACTCATTTTTAGTGTCATTTCAGTATTATTCTAAAGTAGTTTTATATTTCACGTGGCAGCAGGTGTGGTGGAGCACACCTTTAACACAAGTAAGAAAGAGGCAGCAGATCTCTGTGAGTTTCAGACCAGCCAAGGCTGTACAGTGAGACCTATTTAAAAAATCTAAAAAAAATTTTCATATGACTATATTATTTCATATAAATAATATGCCTTATAATTTTTGGCTAATGTAGAAGGAGTAATTACCCCAACCTCTGTCATAGCTACACTGTTAACAGTTTGGTATGTTTCTTTCCAATATTTTTTAAGTTATATTTTCAAAAATTAAAGTAATATATTTTTTTCCAGTCTAAAAGTAATGTGTACTCCATGAGAAAGCTTGGACAATAGAGTACAAAGGGGAAAAACCAAAATCACTCATAAATTCCATCCAAAGATAATCATGATTAAATCTTGTTGTATATATTTTTTATATTTTTCATGAACATATTCTTTATTTACTAAAATTATATACTACACTACATGTTGTAACTGGATTGTTTACAGTATAATGTGAATGTTAATGTTAATAGTCTTATATAAGCTGTTAAGTGCTATGTACCATATGAGCATATTTAAGTATGTTTAGCTAACATACTTAACCATATCGCTATTGTTGGACATTGAAAGTGTTTCTAATTTTTTTACTGTTACCAATATTGCCATAGTTAATACCTTTGTCCATACATCTTTCCGTGCATCTATGATTGTTTCTTTAGGAATAGTCCTACAAGTGGAATAGCTGGGTCGAAGGGTATGTACACTTTAACGCTTTTGATACATGAAATGTCAAATTTAAGCTAACCACTGTTATATTCTGTCTTGTATTGCTATTCAATTGTTTTGTGTGTCTGTTTTGTCTTTCTAATTGGAACATACATGAGAGTAAGGGAAGTTGCTTAATATGTTGTTACCCTTTGGCAATATGGCTTCCTGTGTTGGGCTCATGATCATCAATGTATATCATTGTTGATTCAAAGTGGTGGTTCTCCAGGGTTTTGATGTCATATTCTGTATATTTAAAAATACGTGTGTGTGTGTATACATATGTGTGTGTGTGTGTATACACACACACATTTATATATTAGAGTAAATGTAGGCCTGCAAATTTTCTATTTTTTAGGCAGAGACATTTTAGAAATAAGACCAAATAAAAATTTCTATCATCATCCTCTTAGGAAATAGATTATTTAGCAATAAAAAAGGATAGAGCTCTGAAGAGAACATTTAGCTTTTTGTTCATATGTTTATCATTTTATATTGGGCTGGAATTTTCACCTTAACCTAGAAGTGAACTAGAGACCAACGTTTGGTTAACACAGACTTAAAAGATTTTAGAGTATTAAAAGTAAAACCCCTTTGCAAGAATATAATTTCCCCATGTCTCTTTCTCCACAGTATTGTGAAGGTCATGCATTAAACAGAATTTGTGTTTCTCCATGTCAGTGTTTGAATTATCAAGCTACGGGCTGGAGAGATGGCTCAGTGGTTAAGAGCATTGCCTGCTCTTCCAAAGGTCCTGAGTTCAATTCCCAGCAACCACATGGTGGCTCACAACCATCTGTAAGGAGGTCTGGCGCCCTCTTCTGGCCTTCAGGCATACAGACAGAATATTGTATACGTAATAAATAAATAAATATTTAAAAAAAAAAAAGAATTATCAAGCTAGACCTGCTGATGAGCACCTGAATATATTTCCAGTCACTTAAAACAACACCCATTTTTCTTTCTAGGGGATTGGAGCCAGGGTAGGTGTGATGTAGTGGAAAGACGGGATGTTTAGGCCGGCTCCTCACCTTCCATCAGTCACTTTTCCTTCCGCTTCCTTCCTAACACGGTGACGGTGATCAGATCTGTGAGGGATTTTCTAGCCCTTGTTCCACTTACTTCACTGTGATGTGACTGTTGTTTCTACAAATTCTTTGCTTACCTGACATGAGTTCTTCCAGGTAGAATGAGTCATATCCTTCTTTTGCAGCTCTAGGTGCTAACACAGGGATTCAGGCCTAGCAGGTGCCTGATGACGCGAGTGCTGAGCCAGTTCTGGATGTTGAGGGAACTGTGTGACATAATGTATGTGGAAGCGCACATAAACTTTGTGTGTTATACAATCAACAGTAATTTTGTTTTTGACAGGAGCTATTTTAATGGGGAGTTTCAAAACTTTGTGAAGAGAGAAAATTGCCCCATGAACAGTTTTATAAGCGCATTGTGTTTTTCTTCTATTTTTGCAAGAAAACACGTTTTAATTGGGGCTAGTGTGGAGCTAATGTCCTTCCTAGGAAGGCACATGCACTCCTCCTGCCTGTGTTGCATGGAGGTCCCAGATAGCAAATGTTTGTTTGACTTGGTTATCATCTAATTTTAATTTTAATGAGAACAGCGGCTTTCTTAATAAAAGCCAGTATCCATTGCTTCCTAACTAGTAAAGAAAGGTACCAAGTCTTGAGCAGAGGAGCCTGTGTTGTGCCTGATGCTTTTGGGTAGAGCTCCTTTTGGCTTCATTGGCTTTAAAAGACTTCTTTCTAATCGTTTCTAAAACTCCTGGTAAATTTTTGCCACAAGATGGCATTGGTGATTATTTGAGTATTCATGCTATTGAAGCAGCTCTGAGGAGGTGTGCATGATTGTATTGTGTGGGGGAATAAGAGTGGACGACTTTCATCGCTGCTTATGTACTGTTGCATTTTAACTCCAGAGTTAAATGATACTTAAGTCACTTTCCTTCTGTATTCAAGTATTGTTTTGTTTCCTGTTTTTCTGTCTTTATAATACAGTAACTATGTATTATTTGCCATGTGTTGTATGTGTCTGACTTACTGCTGATAATTGTGGTGACAGGTAAGAAGAAAATACGATGGGACCCAGTTAGGAGACGCTTCATTCAGTCCTGTCCCATCATAAGGATCCCTAACAGGTTCTTGAGAGGTGGGTGATAACTAGCAAGAGGTCTGTGCTTCCTGTGGGTTAAAGGGAATTTTGAATGGATTTTCTAAATTCAAAACTGTTTTCTTTAAGTTGTCTAGCAGTCAACCTTGAAATAAAGGAGTATAGGCCTCAGTTTTAAACTTATATTTTATACTGACCACTGTTGGATTTGTAATGACAAGTTTGGGGAAAGTTAGACTCTCTTAATGTGCCCTCGTTGTTAGAGCAGATTACTTTACGAATACCACTGGCAATCCATATGGTCTTCAAGTGTAGGATGTGATTCTAAGGAAGAAATAAAAGATGATGTGATAGTCTAAATGAAAAAAAAACCTTTGTATTAAATATTGTAAATAAAAAGCTGTGGAAAGCATTTGTAACAGGTCTTTAATATGAATATAAAGAGATCCTAGAAACAAGTAATCTGTATTTACTAGAAAAATAAGCAAATGTGCATATAAATAGTCAATACATAAAGAAATGCTAGTTGAGGAGCCCAAAATGGCTCAGGGGGTAAAAGTGCTTGCTGCCAAGCCCCACATAGTAGAAAGGAAGAAATTACTCCCATTAGTTGTGCTCTGACTTCCACACATGTGCTGTGGCACAATGTATATGCATATACACACAACACATACAATTTATAAATAAATAATACATAAAATATTAAAAAATATATGCCAGTAAACATAAACCTCATTTAGTTCACTACTGTGAAATATACATAATAATTAAAATAATATTTTTACTTATTAGATGGGAAGATTAAAATAAAACTACCCATGTTGGCAAGGGTGTGGGAAAAGAAAGTTTAAATGTTGACCTTTTATATGTAACTGACAAAATGTATCAACTTTAAAGCTGTGGTGCTTTGACTGGGCAGCTCTTCTGTTAGAAAGATCGCATTGTTTCTATTTCCCACTTTCCCATCAGCTCTAGACGGTAGTGAGTGAGAAATTGCTCAGAAGAGGATTGAAAACTCTAGTTTACTGTTTTTTTTTTTTTTAGCTATTGCAAATTATCAGACAAACGTGCTTGATGTTGTAATTTAAACCTTATTAAATTACTTGCAATTCATTTCATCTCATTTTAATCGAAGAGATTCAGTTAAAAACCTAAGCTGGGTGTAGTCGCAGTACACCTTTAAGGCAGACAGATTAGTGAGTTCCAACCAGCTTGGTCTACATAGCAAATTCCAGACCAGCCAGGATTACACAGGGAGACCCTTTCTCAAATAATAAACGGCAACAAAAAATTACGTAAGGGAAAATTCTACAGCCGCTATAGACGTTTCTCTGTCTGGTGTGTACCATATTTTTAGCAGCCAAACCTTAGAGCATGAAAAAAACTAAAACCAGTACTAAATAGATCAAGATAAGAAGTTCAGTGATAGTCAGCCACCGTTCACCATCCCAAAAGAAAAATAATTAGGATATAGAGTTTAATGAAAAAACGGTTGTGTGAGGCTGGGGAGATGGGGAGGTCAGAGCGCTTGTGCTCCCGCAGAAGATCCGGTCAGTTGCCAGCACCCTCGTGGTGGCTCCCCAGCATGCGCACCAATGCAGAGGCTCTCATGCTCCCCTTTGGCTCTGCCAGCGTCAGGTCCTCGTGTGCTGCACATGCTTGCAGGCAGACACTCAAGCACACTTAAAACATCTTTAAAAATTGTCTAAAATTTTATAAAAACATAAAATGACCAGAAAAGCCCTTGGTTATTTCTGCAAGGTAGGTTTTTTGTTTTTTACATAGCCTCCATTAAAAAAATTAATCCTGGGGAAAACACCGCACAGGTAAGTTTTATACCACTGGGTGTTTGTAAGTCCTAAGTTCAAAATGGCTGAGAAAGTTGGTGATAGTTAATTCTGAAAAGAGGGGCAGGCTTAGCATTGGGAGTATAAAGATCACCACAAGCCTCCTTGAAGCAGTGGCCTTGTCTGTCTTCTCCCCTTTGACCAGTTTGAGTGTTTGATGCCATTGGCCACCTGCATTTTCTCTTCCTTTGGGTCATAATACTAGATGATCCTAGATGTTTCCTTCTTACGCGTTGTCCATTTTGTCTCCTTCCCTAGTTCCTGATTTCCATCCATTAAAGGTGGGAATTCAGTGTTCTGTCCTTTTCCATGATCTCTGAGTGTTCCATCAGCTTCCTTAGGTTTAACTCTCTGTTCATCATTCATCCCTTCATTTGGTATTTCTGGATTGTTTCCTATGTAGCAGTTACTGTACTTCCTAGACTGATAATGCAGATCTTAGAGAACCAGGTAGACAGACAATTGCAGAGTAATTGGGATGAAATTATTTGTGAGAAGTGTCCTAATAAGGTGGTATGGCATGGGGCACACCAAAGAGGTTTCTTACCAGCAAATGGAGAAGAGGACGACAAAATAGTGTCATTTGATTTTTTTTTTTTTTTAAGAAAAGTTGCTTAAATCTGAGTGGGATTTTGCAAGGGAAGGGTAGAACCGCAGGCAGCAGGTAGCTTGAATATGGTGTTTATGCAGACTCAGACATGGTACTCTCAAAGATTTTTTTGCATACTGGCAGTAAGGAGCTGGAAAGGGCCAAATAGGAGCACTGTTGAAGGATAATTTTCAGGATCAGACTTGGTTTTGTAGCTAGTAAAGGGATCGTGATTACAGTTACCAAGGTGAAGAAAGCTGAAATCTGAAAAATGAAATCTGGCAGCTGTAGTAGGAATTAGAGGGGGTAGGTAATCCAAACTGTGCCTATGCTAAATTATGAGACCTGATCTCTAATTGAAAAATAGGGGGGGCTGGAGAGATGGCTCAGAGGTTAAAAGCACTAGCTGCTCTTCCAGAGGTCTTGAGTTCAATTCCCAGCAACCACATGGTGGCTCACAACCATCTGTAATGAGATCTGGTGCCCTCTTCTGATGTATATATGTTAACAGAACATTGTATGCATAATAAATAGATAAATCTAAAAAAAAAAAAAAGAAGAAAACTAGGGGGGAAAACAAGCAGTGGCTTCCAGGGACTGGAGAGCAGCTCACTGGCTGCTCTTGCAGAGGATGCCCTCCTTTGGCCTCTGTGGGCATCAGACACACACCCAAGCCATATACATAGTGAAGGGAAAATACTCATACACACAGAATAAAAATAAATCTTTTAAAACATGGCTTTCAGATTTTCTACATGACTTGTACTGCCATTCTCTAGGGGCATGGCATGGATAATCTCAGGGCAGGTTTTAGGAATGGGTGATACACTCCCATTCATTAATCTGCAGTCCAGTAGTTGATTATCCCTGATGGAGATAGAGACAGAGACCCACACTGGAGCACTGGACTGAGCTCCCAAGGTCCCAATGAGGAGCGGATGGAGGGAGAACACGAGCAAGGATGTCAGGACCACGAGGGGTGCACCCACCCACGGAGACAGTGGGGCTGATCTATTGGGAGCTAACCAAGGCCAGCTGGACTGTGACTGAAACAGCATGGGATAAAACCGGACTCTCTGATCATGGCGAACAATGAGGGCTGATGAGAAGCCAAGGACAATGGCACAGGGTTTTGATCCTACTTCATGTTCTGGCTTTGTGGGAGCCTAGCCAGTTTGGATGTTCACCTTCCTAGACATGGACGGAGGGGGGAGGACCTTGGACTTTCCACAGGGCAGGGAACCCTGACTGCTCTTTGGACTGGAGAGGTAGGGGGAGAGGAGTGGGGGGAGGGGGGTTGGGTGGGAGGAGGGGAAGGGAAATGGGAGGCTGGGAGGAGGCGGAAACTTTTTTTTCCTTTTCTCAATAAAAAAAAATAAAAAAATTAAAAAATTAAAAAAAAGAAGTATTTACAGAAAAACCTCTATTCTTATTTATTTATTTTTGCGACAGTTTGTCTTGTGTAGTAATGGCTATTCTGGAACTAGCTTTGTAGATCAGGCTGGTCTCAAACTGATCGAGATACTCCTGCCTCTGCCTCCCTAGTGCTGGGATTAAAGGTGTGGACCACCACCTGGCTAATTCTCTGATTCTTTAACACTAAATTTATTTCCCGGGAAAACTTGGAAGGCCTCTCTGTTCTGAAGTCACCTTCAGTGTGCTGCCTGTATCAGCACGGATCACACGGATCATCATCTGTTCACTGTGTGTGCTCCCTGAGCTCAGGCTGTAAGCTCTGCAAAAACGGGGCAGTAGGACAGCTGCTCTGACTGCTTCATCTCCATATGGTAGCACAGTGCATGTGAGCGGGTAGATTGTGAGATCTAATTATAAAACTGTTGTCAGGGAAGAGCATGGGCGTAGATCTTAGTATGTCCTCAGCTGTTCTCAGTTGTGGTGGTAAGTTAATGAATTGTTAAGAACATGAACATACTTGTTCAGTGGTTCATTAGGTGTTTTCTTAAAAAAACCACAACCTTATTTATACTTTAGTAATTGCCTTTTGAAACACTTTCAAGCCTTCATTTTGGAAACCCTTTACCTTGACTGAAAACAGTTTTTTGGGTCTGTTTTCTGTAGCTAGATTCTACATCTTCTTAAAAGAGATTTCTGCCAATTAACAGTGTGGTGTGGTAAAAATAGTTCTGACATAATAAACACTGTGTCCATCATGAAGTAGTAAACTGAAAGCATCCACTTACCGTCTTCAGTTCTCCAATACCATTGAAGATGAAAAAAAATGATAGATGATGTTACGTCATAATTGTATTGAAAATAAAAGAAAAAGGAAGTTTGGAGTCAGATATCTGTTTCTGAATCCAGGCTCTGCCATTTGCCAACTGTGTGACCCTGGGCAAATCATTGCTTATTTATTTCTTTATTGCCTCAGTTTCCTTAATTTGTAAAGCTAGAATGGTGATAATAGTACCTTTTTACAGAGAGAAATATCGAGAGAGAATGTTTGCAAAGTTTCTAATTATGTCTAGGAATGTTTAGTTAATGTTAGCTGCTAGTTTTTAGGAATTTTGAGGAATTTCAGGGTAATTAAAAACAAGCAGATGGTGGAGGGTGGAGTCTAATGGTAGAGCACTTGCCTACATGAA